TATAATATGATTTATTTTTTTATAGTTTATGTGTCTTTTCAATGTAAAGTTATAAATAAATATATACATGAACTACATATTCTAAATAATACAATAACAATAATGACAGCAGCAAAAAGGAGAAAAAGAAAAGATCGTTGCTATTATAACACTCGGCTAATTATTATAGCACATAATCAGAGCATTCAGACACATAGACAGGAAGTGATCATTTGTATAGTAACGCTACATTCAAATCCATGTCATCATAATAATTTAACCTAATAGAAAAGGGAGCATACTATTATTTGAGCAGACAACATTTTAAACTCCAATCTGGGACACAAAGAGGATATTTTCTAATCACATTTTATTCTTGTTTATTCTGACTTGATACACTATGATTGACAGGTTGATGACAGCTTACCAAAATATCCCTCTGACCTGGAAAACAACGACTGATTTTTTTTTTAGAAAGACTTTGAAATGTATTTGTCAGTATCTGTGTTATTGAGTGAGTCGACTTTTTATCAGTTGTTTCTGTTCGCGTCGGCCCGTTTACAGTCCTGTTGTCTCTCTGCTGAAGGTCATGTTTGTGAAGAGCTGAACAATTACAGTCGAAGCTGTTGATGGCGTTCTTGTAACAGAGACTCGCTGTAAACCTTGAACCACATAAACAGAAGAACTAAGCGCTGTTTAGCAGTATAGCCGTATTATTCATAGCCATGTATGTGTGTGCGTGGTTACATAATGCACATTACACAATGTTGCAGACGTGCTGCATGAGGTGGAAGATATTTGTCCTTGAGCTGTTCGAGACATACTGTTCATATGCTTTGACAAAGGTGAGGATTTAGTTGTGTACTTCAGAAATATTCCAAGCTAAGACAAATTGTTTTAGATAGATGGAATGTAAACATTTATTTAACACTGGCGGGGTCGTGCTCTGAGCCGCCGACTTAACATGAAACCTTCAATAGGGAGAGATATTAGAGGCATGCCGCTATTTGACGGTGACGACAGACACTGAGATGTTATCTGGTGTACATGCAACAGACCTTAGACTGACGCTGTGCAGATACTCAACGTTTTATTTATTGTCAGCTTGAAAAAATAAAATAAAAAGATAGCTTGGGCACTCGGCTTTTGGATAATCAAGGTCATAGATAAATGAGGTTTGTTTGACAACGTTTGAGTACACATAAATGAGACTAGTGTTTAGTGTGTGGGACTGTGAATGTACAAGAAGCACTTTTTTTTACCTTTAAGTTTTAAATGCTGTCCTCCAGAGTTTGATAGTTGTGTAGCCATGCTGATGGTGCAGCTGTTAAGATGTTCTTATTTGTGTGTTGGTTGGTTGATCCGCTCACCACTCTGCTCCAGACAATAAATATCAATGGCCTTGCATGGACCGATGTGAAATTTGGACAGCCCATAATGTTCTGATAAGGAGGAATGGTGATAAACCAACATTTCCTCTATAATGTTGACTCTATTTAAGTGAGTTGACTTTACAGCTGCAGGTATTAGAGTTTCCTAAAGGAGGGATTTTAGTGATGCTGTGACTCTTTATGATGCACCAACATCATCTAGTCATTAGCCATTTTTTATTAAGTTTACGACTTTCTTATTTATCAAAACTGTACAGATTGAAGTATGATGAAATGCTAATTACCCAATATTGTTATGTTAGCAGGCTAAACTTTGTTGGTAAGCCAGACAAAATATCCTGTTAAACGTCAGCATGTTGACATCAAAACAACAGCATGCACCTCAAAATGCGTCTGTACCTTGGCAAAGCATGACAGGGTGGTTTGCATGGCGACAAACTCAGTCATTTTTGCACTCATTATGCTAGTTTAATTCCCTGACTTTTGTCATTTGGACTCCAAATCGTAAATTGCTCTCTCTTTTCTCTTCTGTCATTTTAGAAGAGTGACAGGCTCTTAAAATGTTAGCACGTTCTATTATTAGCTGGTATGTTATCACCTGTCATGTGTTGCAGGAGGCAGAGCAGAAACTTTTAAGCTCATCATGTCTTTGAAAAAGCCCCATTGAAGACAGACCTGAGCCTGATGTGACAGAGAGTTGAAAAGCCCTTCTGAACGTTGCCTTAATGGCTCTCTCGCTCCATCAGGCTGGGACTCCGCTCTGCTGCTATCTATAGCATGGTGTTGCTTTTTCCATCACACCTCCCCTTGAAACGACATCCCTGCTGTGCTAATCAGAATAAGTATTTTAATTCAAAGCGACTGTGATGGAAGTGTTTACCTTCTGGCCAGTGTCTGTGGTGATAGCCAAGCCATTGGGCACGAGGCCCGCTGTTTTGTGCTTCTTCACCAGCCTCACAGAAACGACAGGGATAGCCACCTACCCAGAGGGAAAAGGGCACCAGATAACATTTAGAAGGGGAACGGTTGAGTAAAAATTGAAGGCAAGGAGATTCTAAAAACAAAGGTGAGATACAAACATTAGTGGCATTTGAGTATAGCAGGAAAGTAAAATGTTCCCAGGAAAATTCCCAGGATAGAACATGCAGTTGACTCGAAACGTGTCTTATTTCGGTCAGAATGTGAAGAATGCAGGCTGAATAAGTAGCTTATTGTCAATTAGATATCAGGAGAGGTTTGGTTTCAGGGAAATGAAGGAAAATGAACAATGCACAGCTTCAAAGAGAAAGCCACAAAACTGTTTAAGGTTAAAAGGGTCAGTACCTGTTCTTGGTACATACTTTCACAGCGCACACATGTGATCAAAGACATTTTCTCAGTACAATAGTTAAAGCTGTGACTCTGGAAGTCACTCCATCAGCTCAACAAACTCACAGTGGCAGAAATTATCAAGTTGTCCGCCCCGCTCGTCACACTGTGACTTGAAGTCACTCCGTTCCATTTCTGACAGACACTTTTAGTTTGCTAAGCTGTCTGTCTGCATTCATACCTTAATGTCTTTGCCGAAAAGGTTGGCATAGAAACACAGCCAGTTTCTGGAAATGTAGAGCCGACCTTGTAGAAGGATATCTCTGAGGAGAGCACAGGAGTACACTGACAACAGAAGAAACAAAAAGAATGTCTGTTACCATTCAAACACTGACAAAACAAAAAAAGAAAAACATGCAGGATTATCAGCACATTTTCACACATTTTCCTGCTGCCTCTCTGGTACTTTTTTCAAACCGAGAGAAGTTTTCATCATTCCTGAAGTTACACTTCATCACTCTTACTTTATAGGGTGCACATAGGGACAAAGTGTATAGTAAACCAGGTGAAACTGTGCAAACAAAGAGGGTGAGACACAGCAGGAGAAGTTTAATTGTTTTGAGATTAAGCAGGTATCAGAACTGAAGCAGGAAGAATCAAAGTTGGACACAAAGTCAGGACAAATATTTACCATGAATAAAAAGCTTTAAAATAGTCAACTTTCCAGAAAACATTTTATTTGTGTTTGTTATCAATGGGTTTAGGTATTCCAGTACAGATTTTAACATTGGAGATGCAGTGAAATTAAACTGCTTTTAACGTCTACAAATCTAAAGAAATATGAGAAATAAGAAAATGTGTTTACTACACTGATATTGTTATTGAGGGTCTCTCACACACCTCTGTGTGGCAATTTTCTAGAGGTGACATCTTTAAAAAGCTTATTTTGCCAACCTACTAATCCAACATCCAACAACATAGTGAAGATTTATTTATTGGTATGAAAAGCTTCACATGCCCACCACTGAAAAGCTGGAAATGGGAACTTTGGATGATTGATTTTAAGACTTACACGGCCATGGCCTTTTAATTTCACAGTGGCACATTCATTTCCAGTTTCTACTTATTTTTAAAAGGACAGTGTAAGTCTCATGCTGTTAGTGGAAGCACAGACACATAAAAGCAAAGAGCATATTCAAATCTGGACACAGATTAGTAGAATCAAAAGAAGTAGGAATACATATATAACAGACAAAGTCAATATGAAGCATGGCTGTTAAAGCATATCCTCAGAATGATTAACAAAACTGTTGCATCACAAAATCAGTCTTAAGTTTTCCTCTTGGTTGAACGCACCGTACCTTTCATGAGGATCTCATCCTTGGGCACACACTGGAACAGTTTGTGGTACTGCGAGTTGTACTTGCTGACAGTCTGTGCAGAGGGACAGGGCAGAGTCATGAGCAGCTCCTTGGCGGACCGGCCTGCCTGCACGGCACCAACAGCACCGGCCCCACCGCCAACTCCGCCACCACCACCACCAGCGGCCACTCCGGCTCCGCTCGCCGCAGACACCACCCTCTCCCTCAGAGGACGCGAGCTCTGCACCAGGCTCAGCACGTTGGCACCGTACACACACACACACTCGCGCACATCCAAGGCCTGGAGCAAGCTGCTGCAAGACACACACTGTTCCCCTGTCGCCGGTCAGTAAAAGGACTACCTGTATCTCTAGTCTACAAACACACACCTGGCTCTAATGCATACACCTACACACAAACAAACACGCACACACACGCTACTACAGAGCTTCAGCAGCATCGCCTCAGTTTACAGCCAGAGCTCCCTCTCAGAAACTACAAGGCTCTCTTTCTCTGCCTGAAATACACCTCCAGTGACTCTCCACTGAGCAGCACTCAGCTGACACCCTCCCTCTTCTCCCTCCCTCCTTTACACACACACACGCAGACACACACACACACACACACACACACACACACACACACACACACACACACACACACACACACACACACACACACACACACACACACACACACACACACACACACACACTGCCCTTCATCATTCTGAGCTGAAACACACTCTCGCACTCACAGGTACGCCTCAACTCTCTCTCTCTCTCTGCCTCTCCCTCCCTCTATCGAGCAGTTTCTCTTCCTCTAACCCTCCTGACTGCAGTGTTAGACTCACTTTCTCGAGAAAATCTTCACTTTTCCTCCCTGAACGCAGAAGCGGTGTCATTCATTTCAACAGCTCAACACTCAAGCTCACCTCCAGCACCCCTGCCAACAAACTATCTTTCCCTATTTTATTTTTATCTATTGTATCTCATCTATCTTGTTTCCACCCGTATCTGCACAGTTTGCTGTTGTCTGCTGCTTCTGTTTATGTCTCTCTATTATTAGCTCATGCTGGAGCAGCTCTTGTCGTCAAGAGTATGGCACGACCAGTAGGTGACTGAAATTTCAATGGTTTAAACTGTGACTTAATTCAGTAGCCCATCTAGAATAATACATCCTTCAGGTTGATATTGTTTCTGTATGTTGCACATAAAAGGCTGAATATGTTTGGAGGGCACTAGCAGGGATCACAGCCAGTCTACTGTTGCTAAACTGCAAAATAGTTGCTGTTTTTTTTCAACCATTTGACAGCTTAACATTAATTTATGATTCTCAAAATTTAATTTGTTGAATTTCGTGTTTGCTTTGTGATTCGGTTCACAGTGGCAAGTTATAATTGATGAAAATAATGTCCAATCTGAATCTGTTCAAATTTGTACAAAAAAGGAAAGTAATGTAGCACAGGGGAATAATACACCTACATTTATCAACTATGTGTTCCTCAGTTTGTAAAAAGGCCATCCTTTGTACACATTTAATCATGCAGGATCCTTTAGTGTATTTTAAGATAATACAACATCATAGCATAGTCATTAGTAAATACAAAGCATTCTTGAGCTAAGCTGTCAATAACAGCATCACTTGGTTTTGTATGTCGAGTGTAAAATGGTACAAAGAATGGCGTTGACTTGTTCATAAATTAACAATGGCAGCTTCTGATGGTTACTTATTACAGCTTCTTGGCAAGTCTTCCAAAATGTCATACATTTTTTATGCAAATCAAATTTTGGCATAATGGTGAACGTTTGAAATGTCAATGAATCACAAAATAAAACATTCTCTCCATGATTTAATGGAGTATGCTGATTTATTTAGTTCAAGGAGCAATACGTAAGATATCTACTGAATTCAATCCTAACATGACCTTACTATATCATCAGACTTTAAGGAAACATGTAGAAGTGCTGGACAACAACACAGCAGCCAATATGTCTAAATTTCACATCCTGAATGGTCTGAATTTGTTTGGACCAGAGAAGGTAGGCAGTTGTAAGGCACCCCTACACAGCTGTTTTTGGACGGCCCCCGGTTTATCAGGAATGACACCAGTTACAGCTCTGTCCAATGTATTGACACTAGGTGTCAGAGTTACATATTGCTCCTTTAAGTCTGGTAACACTTGTTCCTATCACAGACACTGAAGCAATTATGCTGAATAGAGACTCACCGAGCCGCGGTAACATTTCTTCACATCTTCATAAGACAGATCTTCAATCAGATGAAACCTGCAATGAACGGAAAAATACACTTAGAACAACTCTCTGTCACATCAGGCTTATACAACACATGACAGGTGATAAAAAACCAGCTAATATTAGAACGTGTTGACATCTCAATTACTCAATTTCATGAAAAATATCCCTTTCTTACAAGGCGTGTTAATGCATTATTATGTATAAAAAATATTTAAAAAAAAGACTTCAATAAAACTATTCAGACACATTGAAGCAGATGAACCCTTTCATCTGGCCTGAAGGCATCATGACAAAGAGCGTTCTGCTCATGCATGTGTACAGAATGTATTGTATATATGTGTATAGTTTGTGTACAGTGCATGAAAATCGCATCTGGGTCAAAGCTTCCACACAAAGAGTTAATCATTAGTGTGTGCATAACTGCAGCGAGACGAAGATAAATATTGAGTTGTTTAAACACAAATAGTGACCAAGCCAAGGAATTGTACATGCTTTTCATTTTGTAGTCAGAATATACTCACACACATGCACACATACGAGTCACTGGGATAAAGCTTGCCTCAGCAGGAATAGTCAGTGAAGCAGATGTCACAGCATGATATTTATATCTATCCTTAACGCAGACAGAACCACCCCGCAGATTCACTAAACTTTAATCAGCCCTTTAAGGAAAATGTCATTGAAATAAACTGATGTGCCAGTTAAGATGCTTAAAAGAGGAAGACATGTAGGCTTCCTTTTCTTCACGTTTCTTTCCTCGAGTGTTACTGTAGGTGATTGACAGCGTGACGTAACACAGTGCTGATATGAAAGGACTCCTGCTCAAGGATATGCTGATAAAAAAGAAGCTTTGGAAAAGAAAACTCAATTGCTGCTTCACGTTAACACTGATGGATTCATTCTATAGAAGATTTAATTCATGAACCACAGAAACAGAGAAAAAAGAGAAAAGAAAATATATATTAAAGTCGTTAGCCTAAAAACTTTTTCTCTTGAGGCCATGTGTTCAGTTGGTAGAGTCAGTCATCTCTTAACCGGAAGGTCGGGGGTTCGATCCCCAGCTCCTGAAGCTGTAGGTCAGATGCGTCCCTGGGCAAGACACTTAACCCTAACTGCCCATATCGACATAGTCCGTGCTTGTGCATTCTGTCAGCGCCACTGTTTTGCTCCATCGGAATGGAGGCGTCCGTCCCCACTGGGTACGTTTCTGGAGCGTGAGCGCGGCGTAGTGCAGCCATAAGCAGCTGTACACTCATCGCAGGAGAACGACAAGATCACACGGGAATAAAGAGATATACGAGCAAATGTGCAAAAATCAGAAGTTGCTTCGGCTGTGGCATATAAATGTGTATGAATGGGATTTACTGATGGACACTTTGCATAGAAGCCTCTGATATCAGTGTGTGAATGTGTGAATGTGTAGGTGTGGCCTGCGATGTAAAAAAAACGCTTTGAGTTGTAAGAATATGTGAAAAGTGCTATAGCTCAAACCCAATTACCATTTACCATATTTAAGCGGTCAGTTTTATATCACATAGGTATGAACCAGTAACATCCTTCCTTATTAAACTAATAACCACGGGTGGACTGTTCCTTTGTGTTGTCCCTTAAGTACTTTTACACAGTACAATTAGGCCAAGTGTAATTAAACACTTCTACTACTGCATTATTTGTCAGGGGGAAAATTTGACGTTTTCCAACTCTGCAGTTTTGATTTTATCACTCAACCAAATATGCATGGTTTTAGATTAGTGAAATAGGCATTGAAACTTTGTTTTCAACCTGCTTTATCTTCACAGTCTTAAATCCTGCTGTTTCTACATAACCTCAATGATCAACTAACTTTATACCTGGGACATGCAGCTTCAGCTTCAGTTGATAGTATATTCCCTTTGTGAATATGTATGACATTTTTTAGTTTAAAAGTTAAAAGTTTAAGGTAAAAAAAACAAAAAACTGCTTGCAAACATTGTTTTCAACAGATTAACTAAAACTCAACCTGATAACTCATGAAGCTAATGAAATCTTGATTAGCTAGCTAACAGGTTGATTTGTTGTTGCCATAATCATTGATTAAATTATCAAAATAACCAATACCACTTGATATAAATTTGAAGACTGCTACAAGTTTACACAAGAGACCATCAGCTTTCAAAATGACTAATTAGTTTGTTGATTAATTTTATTTGTTTAATGCTCATTTGCAAACAGTACATTTGTGCTAGCATTGCTGTAGCCTAGGCACGTGTCTGTAATTACATTTTTACATACATATATATATACTATACAAATGATGTACATATACATATAACCTATATGTACATCATAATACTTATTTTTTCAGCTTAACCTTCACTATTTAACTGGTAAAATGTATCTTTCTTTCTTTTTTCCCCCACCTGGCTGGACCATGATTCAGCATCATAAGCTAGCAGCTCCACATTTGTATTCACCTTGAACAGTGTCCTTTACTCATATGAAGGAAGGTGTTGTTGTTACATAAATATGCCTCAACAGCAGGCAGCAGGACTGTCAGTGTCCCTGCTCTGATGAGACACTCTCCTCTGGTTTAAGGAGTTAGTGTGACATCTGTCCTCTGAATCTGCTAATGCTTTCCTCTCATACAGACAAGAGACAAGACCTTTGACTGTAGTGTGTAAGGAAGCATCTCTCATTGGCATCATTGGGGGGAAAAAACGTAAAATTATTATCACATATTCCCTGGTTTGTTTTTTCTGCTAAGCAAGTTATTCCACAGCATTTCTGATAATACAAACAGCAACTCAATGATTAAAATGCTGCTGCTAATAAAGCCACCAGCTGTCATAGTCCTGTTATAAGTCTGTCCAATCATTTTGATCAGATCTAGTAAAATGATGATACCTGTCTTCATATCTATAGCCTATGCAAGCACTTTGCTTGTGCATTGAGCATGATCGCAGTGTTCAACAAGCATAAGACAGTGGACTAGTCGCATAAGAATGGCAGAAAAATTCAGATATAGTGAGGTATTGGTGCACTTTGTTACTCTCCCTAATGTTGTCTCATCATAGAATATTTGAGTCATCTCATGTTCATGTTTTTATTGTTCTCTGCTTGCTAACTTTCAAAATCTTATTTACTATGGCTGGTTCTCCTAAAGTTGCCTTCACTGGCTATAGAAGGGAGTATTAGCTGTTCCATACATTTAGTGGAGTAAAAAGTGAAATACCACCCTCTCAAATGTAGGAAAGTGGAAGTACGAAGGAGCATACATTAAAAAACCTCTAGAAAAAAAATCAAACAAACTAAAAGTTGATCATTTTTAAGACTATGTTGTTAACCTACCCTTTAAATCAAAGCATGAATGAGAGATCACAACTCTGGCTGTAAAAAGACCAAAAGACCCAGACAGAATTCAAATGTCAGAGAGCAATGTTGGCTGACAGATGTTATCGCTGCCTGCTGTGTGCATGTTTGTGTAAGTGTGTAAGTGTTTGTGCATATGTGTGTGTGTGTGTGTGTGTGTGTGGGCGCACATGCTTGTGTAAGAGCATGATGCAGCCGTTGTTTACAGCAGAGCAGTACAGCCGGCACAGTGCTGCCAGATCTCCTGCTGGACCCCGCTGGTTATCATTTAGACACTTAAAGTGACATGTCCCTCATTTAGCATCATATAACAGCTTTCAAAACAGCGGGAAGAAAAATCTACCCTTCATCCCTTCCTGCAAACCTACAGAAGTTCTCCCATTCTTGCTTTAAAATGTAAACTAAAAGTACTAATACTAGTTACATATCTCTAGTAGGTCATACTTCTCCACTTCATTGCAACGAATGTGAATTATGAAAATAGGATATCTAATAAGTTATCTATTATCAAACAGCAGATATTTAGGTCAATTGGAATCAAACACTACCCACTGTTTAACCTTCCCAGCAGTAATAATTGATTATAGCTTGTCCTACATGTGCTAATTCATGGTGTCCCTCATTAAAATCGCCCTTTTACAGAAAACCATCCCATTATCTTGTGACCATGTTATGAACAATAGTGAATGTGTGCTGCTCTGCCTGCTGGTCGCTGACTATAAATATCCTCCACAGCGGCTCAGCACTCCCAGGTGATGAGAAGAGAGTGATTATTAAAAAACACAGACTTCTCTGTGGGGACTAACCTGCTCTCGCTCTCCATCTGTCTCTGTCTTTTACATGAGATCCAGGTCTTAATCAATAGTGCTGCCACATCCAGGGGGCTGCTTAGAAGAAAACTGCTAGAGGCAACTCCTATTCCCAGCTCTCAACGTGTTGTTCAAGGTAAAGCATCGTCTACACAGGGTATAAAGAAGGTCATGTGGGGAGGAAAATGATGGACGCTTGTCAGAGATGCCACAGTGACATGTAGCTTCATCAACAGGACACTTAATGGTTTATTTTGGATATCTTTTGAGCACTTTAAATGAATTCACAGGCCCACATGGAATCGATGCACTTACTACAGAAGTAGAAGCATTAAAGTCTATAAAACAGACCTTGTAAAAAGCAAAAAGGTTGTTTTTCCAGGTAGCAGGAGGCTCAATGGGCTGTTTATTACATTATGTGTAAGTGCTGAAACGGTCTAATGTGTGCACATGAGGTTTAATAAGATGTAACAACCCCAAAACATCCTCCAAAGCAAGGGGATATTGTCTTCTATCTCTCCAGTCAATTACACAGCTTTAGTTTAGAAACCAAACTAAACCTGTGTATCAGCTTTTACACCTGTGATCAAATCAAAATGCTCCCCGCTGTATGTGTGCATGTGTGTGTGTGTGTTAGACGCATGCGCCTCTATCAAGTGTATCTCAGTGCCCTTGGCTGCGAGTCTGAATAGTTAAACTAATTACAAGCTCAAAGAATCCTAAATTGAATCCTAAATTAGAAAGCGAACACCTCCCATCGGTGGGCCGGTGTAGCAGTAGACTCCCGCTCAATAATTTAGCTGCAGGAGAAGGAATTGGGACTGCGGGTGCTGTGAGAGAAGAAGATAGACTGACTATGAGACTTCAAAGTGTCCATGGAGGAAGATGGGGACTGCTGAGAAATCAGAACTGTGAAGGATTTTTTTTCATTTGGGGAAAAAATCTCAGACGCCATACTGATTGAAAAGCTAGCCTTAAAAAGAAAAGTTAACGGATAACCTTTTTACAGACATGATGAAAGTGATAGGCTTTTGAAAAAGCATCCAAGGGTTTTCATGCTCACTTTTTCTAACCGTGTGTGCCTGAAACTTTAGTGGTAACTTGATATGCCTGATGTGTTCTAGTTAGTGATAATTAAACTCAAACGTGTGCAGTGGTTATTTTTCAAAGTCTTAACACTTTTGTCCGACTGTGCAATAATTTCTACATCCTACATTATCAGAGTGTGGGAGCAGTTACATTGCATGAGTTGTTTGGAGGAGTAGGGTGGATATTTCAAACCTTTTTTTAGCTGTAAAATGATGTTTGTGTAAATTTGTAACTGCTTGTAAGATTAACTACACTCACAGGTCTGTTTTCTCTGGTCTCCTCTGAGTTGTGAGTAAATAGGAACTATGGTAAAATAAACAAAGTACAGCTACTTAACTACAGATGAAACTTCAAAAACAAGTACAAACCTGAAGGAAAAGGGAAAGTAAGTCGCCCTTTCAGATTGAATGAAACTGTAAAACCTTTCAGAGTCTACTTTGTTCTTTCCCTCAGTGTGGTCCAAACCAATGGTTCCCACTCGCCAACTAAACTTGATCCACTATCTTAATCACAATCCATAAAAATACACATTTCCTTTTTTTTTAAGTGCCATTTTGACTGGATTGCTATGTGCTTCTACTGCCTTGCTTCATGGTGTTCAGTATGTGTGTTTTTGCTCTGAAACTCTTAACTTGCACGTGAGTTTTTGTCTGTGTTTGGGTCCTGACTGCTGCCTACACTTCCAGTTAGCCCTGGAGCAACGCCATCCATGTTGCTTTGTGTGCCCTGGATGTTCAACTCAACAGCCATAACAATTCCATAAGCAAGGAATATCCAGTGGTCTTCTTATGCTTGCCTTTTTTTCAGTACCCTAGTGGCAATTACTCCAGAATAGCAGCTTTCAATATTGGATAAATAAATATTTACAACCATTACCATTGCAAGCACCAGGAGTGTTCAGACAAGTACGTTACTGAGAAAGAACAAAAGATAAACACACTTTTTACTAAGGGCGGCTCAAGAGTGACATATGCATAAACCGTTTAGTCCCTCCCCTTCAGCCTGTCTTCTCACACAAGCAATGCTTCAGTGCTAAATCCTATCCCAGCACAGATTCCCCAGGATTACACTGCTCTTGCCTTGGATCCTTCTTATATAATGCACACAAACACACACAAAGGGTCTGCACACCACCCCCCACACACACACACACACACACACATAAACATTGGATATGCTGACATGCATGATAACACTTAATTACAAGTTAAACTAAAGCAATTACTATGTTGCAAATACAGGCATCTTAACCCTAGCCTTTGGGGGAGAAATCCTTTGGTTAATCTGTGTCTTTGGTATCTCTGTGTGCATGTGTTTGACCATTGTCTGACATCAAATGCGGCTGAAAAGGTACAAAATAAGCACTGTAAAAATAAATCTCCCCAGGCTATAACCCATGACCATGCACAGGATACAGATGGTGCATGGAGGGAAAAAAGGGCATGGAAAGAGAGCAAGTGCTGTAGAACAGTGTGTGAGTATATTTGTGTTTGTGTGTATGTGTTTAAGAGAGGGCGAGAGAGAGAGAGAGAGAGAGAGAGAGAGAGAGAGAGAGAGAGAGGCATGCCTGAATTGGCCATGTGTGTCGTCCTCCTTGGAGGGTTCCAGGTCCTGGGTTGAGATCAGGCCTGTTTCTTCGCTCTGCTCCTGCTGCTCAGTCATGCTCCTGGCCCTAAACACACAAACACAAAGCTCTGTGTTAACAGCAGGCACCACTCTGCTGGACCCTCTTGTACACTTGTACGAAAAAAAATAAAAATGTCTGTTTGTTTTTTTGTCCAAGTTTGGCTTCAAACACAATGTTCCTCTTAAAAATGTTTCGGGGCAAACAAGTGGACTCTGTCTCCAAAATCAACACAATGGTGATGCAACATTCAAAGTCTGCTTCTGCTGGTTTACACTTCATTAAAATCACCCACTCAGCAAAGTGTACTTGTGTAAATGGGGTCAGTGTCTGCACTCAGCCAGATGCCTACAATGAAATAAAGCACCTTTGAGGTCGTGCAGATGGCTGACATGATGTACTGCTGCGAGCTGACGCAAACATTTTTACCATACACGTTGCAATCTGTTTTTTTCTCAGCATCATATGTTCCTTGAAGATACGTTTTATAGACTCCAAATAATAAAAAAAACAAAGATATTAACATAATTTATGTAAGGTAAGATGTACCTGTGAACAAGTAGAGCAAAGCACTATAAACACACTTCTGCAAAAACACCCAAAGTACAGTGATGGAAAGATTTGACTTAAATAAACAACGTTTAAGAAATGATCATGATGAGTGAATGAGTGAAGTCATTGTTGGGGTCGGTCTGCATACAGTTTGAAATGCATGAGATAATAATGGGTTCCTTTATCATGGACATAAGCCTTGCAATTTCCCTCTATAATAACAATTCAATTACAAACAAAACAGAATACGATACATATTGTGATATATACTGATTTTGGATTAAGACCGTGTCCTACACAGAATTCACTACAGCTGTTCTTTATTGTTGAGAATAACAGCAGAGGCGTATTAGGGATCCTATAATTTAAAACACTGCAATTCAGGTCCTCAAGAGATCCTAGAAATACATTTAAATATTTTAATCCCAGAGCTATGGCTATGGCTTTATTGTGAACTGCAACATAGGTCAGTTGTCTTTAAAAACTGTCATCACAGCTTTGCAGCCATATCGATTCTGTAACATCTGCAACGGTACATGTGTTTGCAGGGAGCACATGACGACATATTACCAAATCGATTGTTTGAGCACAGCCCTACTGTACAGTCCCAGCGTCTGAACTCAAGAACATTAACCGTAAACCAACACCAGCTGTCATGTTGTCAAGTGTCAACTTTTACTTCATTTCTTTCCTACTTTTGAACTTCCAATGTTCATTTGTTGTTCATTTCTTTAATCTGCTGTCATCTAACATCCTTTACATTAAGCCGTTAGCTTTAGCTGACTCAACTGTTAGTTGTTAAGTTGCTGTACAATTATTCTATTACTATTTGGTATTTAAGGTTATGTCAATAATTTATTATTATTAGATAACCATTTCAATCCAAAGGGCTAACTGTTTGCTCAATGTTAGAACAGTGCATACATTTATTTGAGCTTTTAAACTGTCAACTGTTTATTTGGACTATTTCACTAATAAGTCTTCCTGTAGTTTCATCCACGACTTTGAACGACTTGTTTGTTATTGTTTATACTATTTTATTGACTTATCCATTACTTTTTGTTTCGCTAATGCATTCGCCTACCTTTAGCTATCTGGCTATTTATTCCAGCTATTGACGAAGAGTCCATCTCTCATGTTTTTATTGGCTTACAGTTTCCACTGTAATTCCAACAGATTTAGCTCCTGCTATCTCAACGTATAAATCTTTCAGCTAAGGGTTTTAAGAATCATCAATGAGGCTCTTTTAGGTTATGCTAACTGTAAAAATGTTGCTGGTAGCTAGCTAACTATTTCAGCGATTCCTTAGTTCATGTAATGTTTCAGCACTAAATCCATTATGTTAATGTACCTAACTATGCCAACTTTTGTCCAATTATTTATCTTTCAAGACGACTGTTTTTACATTTACTTTTAACTTCCAGTTGGCTATTTTCAACCATAGCGGAAAGGTTCAGACATTTCTCTCTTCGCTTACCGTTTCAAGCTTTTTTTCACACACTCTCGATGAAAACTCTTAAGTTGCATGTAGTATGCAGTTAGCTTATATAATAAATTCCAGCTCATTACATTACTGAAAACGTACAAAGATCAGCATCACACCAATTGTAATCCTAAATCTTTACTTACTTCTGTAAAACAAATATATAGATGTATTTTAAGATCTAATTATAATTTACACCAGAGTATCTTAGTCCTGAAGTTTACAAGCTTAGGCAATTTTTGGCATTGGCAAATCCCCCCCCCCCCCCCCCGATTGTGAGTGGCTGATCTGACAGACAGACAAAGGTGGTTTGCAGTGTTCATGTCACAAACAAAGGGCATGTACTAAAAATCTCTGAATAATCTAGTATTTTTCTTACTCTCATCTGCACATCACCCTCCCTCTCTTTCTGACATGCACACAAACATCCAGCTGCCCTGCTCTGTATTTTCCTCTGGGAAAGAGGAAGTCGTTACCACCTGCCGAGGTATAATTACAGGTGCTGATGGAAATAGGCTCCTGCATGCAGTTTCCATTATCTCTAATTGGCCAGAAGCTTCACGTCAGCCGCTGACCTGTTCAAACAACAGTGGCTTCCTGGTCCAAGAGGTTTCACATTTGACTGGTTATCAGTGATCACAGAGGGCTGAATGGGAGGTGAAGGGCCTGCTGTTACAGATAAGGAGAGGTTTTTTGTGGTTTAGTCACCTGAAGCCTGATGTTAAAGGAATCAGGAGGAAGATCTGGTCTCAGATGAACGGTTAGGGTTAGGGTTAGTGTTGGAGCATTTTTGCTATTCACTAAGAAACAATGGTGAAAGGAGGCTGCTTGTAGCTGCACTCTGGTATTCCTTTTAAGGAAATTGGAATTATTGTAGTACTTTTCCTAAAGGGAAGAGGGAAAAGCACTCTTAAAGACAAGAAAGATGGGAATTTCTGACACCACACTTTGTCGAACGAGACAGATTTTCATTGGTAA